CTTTCACTGTTGATCATATAGCATCATGGTTATTATAGACAAACAGTTAGTTATCCTCCTCTTTTAAGTCTTTGATTAGTGATAAGTCTTTATTGGTAGAAGGAATGAGGTAAAACCATGCAAACATAGACCAAGCAAAGTTCCAGAGAAAATTAATGAACCTCAAAAGAAAAAGATATATTTAATAAAAATGTGTAACCGTTTATACACGCATACAGACTATCAGCAATGTGTCAGATGTGAATACGTTTCTAATAACTACTTAGATTCTCAGAACATGCAAATTATTTTTATCGGATGGTAAAACCACATGTTGTGTGTCATTGTTATTTATAGTGATGATGTGTGTCTGAGTGTTTCGGGGGTAGTCAAATGCATATTCTGGTCCATTTAGTTACTTTTTGTGCTTCCATATTTGATTTAAAAGCAGTGCCTAACATTGCACCAGACACAGCTTTACTGCTATTAGTATTGTGAAAATAGTTGTACTCAGTAAAGCGGCTATGGAGCCTTACCCGGAGGGGAGTTTGAACAGAAAGTCTTTCCAACACAAAATTTTCAACAAATGTGTCTAACTGAGCATCTTCACTTCCAGATAATATGTTTTCATCTCCAGACAATAGTAATGAGAACTTTGAACTCCATGGTTGACCAGAATTGACACAAGCAACAAAAGAGGCAATATCAAGGTGATAGCATAATTGATCACAGAGATGTTCCACACAAGATACCTGTCAAAAATATAAAGAATATATACAGTATAAAATTCTCATTTCTTATCAATAGAATATTCAACTACAATATCATGAAAGTTCGAAAACATTAATTACCTCATCTGACTGGTTCCCATAAAGAGAAGATTCTTCCAGCCGAAACACTTGTGATTTACTTGTCCAAAGCAATTGCATTAAGTTCCGCCTCAACACTGTTTTACCAGACAGCAAATCCCAACCCATAGCAGCTACTAGGGGCCGAAGCCGAGGGAATAGTACAAGAACCTACAACATCATAAACCAATCATATTAAAAAAATGCCTGATATTCAAGATTGGCAAAGGAAACAAATAACTTATATAATAATGAAGGGAATTTTGTTTTTTTTTGGGCCGATGTATTAACTTAAACATAAAAAGACACGTACATTTGCTGCTTCTTGAATGCGCTCCCTTTTGATGGCAGACAAAGCTGTATTCATCACGCACTCTAGTATATGTAACCTAGAAATGCGGGCATAATGGAACATGTCTCTCGTGCAAGAACTTGCTGCCATATTCAAGGGCAAATGCTTATTATTTAAATCTGCATCAGGTTTCAATTCCACTAAATACTTCTGAAAATGCTCAAGAGGTGGTGGAATTTGGTTGTTATCAAGAGCTCTATACATCTCAATCTCTTCAAAAAGCAACTCATTGTGAATAACCTGCAAGAAAATATGGTAAAACACAAGCACAAAGGTTACAATAAGGAAAGGATTTAACTATTAGAACTAGATTTTTTTTTTACTAAAGCAGCAATTAGTTTATCTAAAAATTGCATTGCATTTTAGCTGACATTAACATCACAAGAACCAAAAAGAATCATATGAAAGCTAGCCAAAACCACTTGAAGGCTTTAGAAAACACACCAAAACCAATTAATTTTATTAAATGTGAAACAAAATGAAATGACATTTTTCAATTTTGAGGTGTCCCAAGGAATTTATTTAATAAAGTAGTGAGAGTTAGAATTCTCACCAAACATGATGACATGAAACTGGCCAAACTACTCTAATATAACCAGGTTATGGCATCTCCAAAACAGACCTCAAATAAGCAAGCCAGCATGGCTTGTACAAAGAATTTTACGCAATCTACAAGGATTTTACCAGTATTGAATCCTCTCAACTTTAAAATAGCAAATGGAATTTGGGGAATCATTAATGTTAGAAGAAAAGAAAAGAAGGTAATACTTGAATCATTTGAACAAGATGCCTGCAACTAGATGACAGAGCTTCTCCATAAATCTGTAACAACTTTTCTTCTGTGAAATGCCAGGACCCTCCAAATCTTTCCTTTTCTGATAAAACCCTCTTGAGCAGATCTTGCAGCAGTGTGCTATTAGAAATATCAAAGGAAATATAAATAAATACCTAGAATTGACGAAATTTTACCAATGCCAAATACAGGTCTTTGAAACCAGAAAAGAGATAAAACTAGGGAACTATACCTAGAACTTAGATTAAACCGATAAATCAAACCAAGCATGATAGGATTCAAAGTGCACGGAAGATCTAAAATGTTTGTCAAGGAGAATGCAAGACAGGTCCTGTCTATGTAGTTTACCCCAAGCAGAAAAAGAGGGGAGTTAATCAAAGCTCTTAGCTACATTTGTTTTACTATACTTGCTGAAACCAAAAGAAGTAAAACAAAAGCACATACCTACGGTAGCCATCATAATTGGATCTAACTTTTTCCTTCTTATCTAACAATGACTAGTTATCATAAGCTAAGCATCGTAAAGGTGCAACTACATTGCACTGAAACAGTAAAATTGAGACTCATTTTAGCAATAAATGTACATACCGATACTCAACCTCCTCCAGTCCATAATCAAGGTGAAGGAAACGAATACGAGAAACCGCCCCTTCAATATCCCCATCCTTCACACATTCCTTGATAGCATCCAAATGGGCTAACTGAACACTCTTTTGTATCAAACTAAGAACCCTCTTATGTTCCTCATCGAATGAATCCACTCTCACCTTCTCCGCTCTTCTTACCGTTATAGCCATCCCCAAATCAACGCCCTCCAATCCTTTCAATTGCCGCTGAATATTCCCACATAAGACATCGAAAACATCTGCGCAATCCATAACCACCTTCCTCAAACAAACCATTTCTGCTTCCTCAATCAAGACATTCTCTGAAACCGCCTTATTCTCCTCCCCACCATCACCACCTTCCACGACCACATCCGGTCTCAACCTCCTCATTCCCAATTCCAAAAGCCTGTCTAAAACCCTAACGCAATCTCCCAATTCACCGTTTCCCTCTTTCAAATCCTCGCTTTTATCCAACAACTCAGGTTTCTCTTCCTCAAAACCCTCACTCTCACTTTCCTTCTCTTTTTCAATCTTTTCCAAATCAACATCTCTTCTCAAACTAGCCAACACCTTATCGATCAAAACTTGAACTAGCAACAAAAATTCCGCACGCAGCCGCAGTGTTTCGGGATCAAAGCTCCATATCGAAGTAGGATCGTTAAACTGCAAGAGTTCGAGAGTGGAAAGATACGTTAGAAGAGCTGGCGATGGACACGAAGGTGACCAGGCAATGTTCTCGAACCGAGCCGAGTTGGCGACAATCGTTTGAAGAATTGCCAGAGCAAGGTCCGGGTTTTTCGTTCGTAGAGCGAGAAGCGTGGCTCGCAACGGCTCGAATTGAGCAAGGTGGAGATGGTTCGCGGCTAGGCGCGAGAGGAGTTCAGTTTCTTTGTCCATAAAAATGGGTATCGAAACTAAGTCGGTGTTTAGATTTTGGATATTTATTTCATGAAAACTTATGATTGATCAACTGATTTTTTCATGATTGGGGTTTTTTTCCAGATTGAGAATTGGGTGTTCGATTGCCGGGAAAACGAACAAGGAAGTAAACTGGACTCGGTTTCTGCTTTTTGTAGAAGTGAAGCTTGAACACCGTGAAACCAGGGATTCGATTTGATTCGGGTCCCGAAAAGTTCTCGGGCTAAACCAACGGTCAAAATTGACCATCCAATTGAGATGAAGCGTCCTTTGACTGTCGAAAAAAGATATTTGAAGCTGGAACGGGATCTATTGGACCTACCAAAACTTGTTGAGTCTCTAAAGCTTCCGCAAAAAATATAGGTCTAATCCAACTACTAGGTTTGGCCCAAAAAAAACTACTAAGTTGATTTGATTTGGGTTAATCAAACCTATCGGCCCGTTTGGCAAAAACTAATCATTGATGTTTGGGTATGATGCGTCCTGTGTCAAACCCAACTATTAATCAGATTTAATTTGGGTTATGAAGTGTTTGACTTGTTGTCTTCAAAATTTTGTTGTGTTTTTTTTTTTGGCCAATTTCAAAAATATATTGTTGATTATGATTTTTTATTGTTTATAGAAATTATCAACCTTGCACTTTTTTTACCACCCAATTTAAGATCCTCTTTGAATTTCTTTTCCCTTTGGCTATCAAGGCACTTTAATGAAGGGATACATAAAATATTTTTGTTTTCTTATTTCAGGATTTGTCAGTATACGATTTTGATGTGCAAATGGTGTATTTTTTAAGCGGCTGAAATAATAAAAAAAAATACTTAAATTTTATCGAGTTATTTAGATAAATTTTATATTTTATTACATTTAAATAAATTTTTAATTTTTAATTTACACTTAAATAAATTCTTAATCTCTTGTTTGTATCTAAATAAACCCATAACATTAATTTTAAACATTATTGATATTTTTAAGCATGTAACTTTATTTAATTAATATCAAATTTTATTTACATTATTGATATTTTTAAACATAAAACTTTATCTAATTAATTATTTTTATGTCCCCTTAAAATTAAGTGAACATAATATTTCATTTTAAATGACAATTATATTTTAAATATCACAAGCTTAAAATTAATATTATAATATGATAAAGCTTTTTAGCTTAATTTTCTGTTACATGCGAGCATTAACGCTAAGAATGAGAGAGAAGAGGAAATTGTTTACCAAACAATTATATATACTAGATTATCCGTGTATAGATTTTCAACGATCATCTTGGATTGATTGTTTTAGGACTTTCGCTCTTATCAAATGGCCCAAATTGTTCATAATTGTCTTCAGTCTTACGGGTTTTAAACTGATAATGCAATCGCCTCATATTTTATTAACAAAAAAATAAGAGTAAACAATTAATTTCAAATAAGATTTCAAATTTCAAGAGTACTCAATTCGTCAGTATGTCAGTTTTTTATTTTTTCTATGTCAATTTGAACTATAAATATGAATTTCAAAGGCTGAAAGCTCATTGCCACCTTCTCCACAATATTCTAATCAGCGTAAGGACTTTTCTTCCTCCTGTGAGAGGCCAATACTTGCCCCTTAAATAAACAAATAAAACAAGCTAGCTAGTTAGTTCGCTCTCTCATTCTAACGGTCGTCGCAATGGCAGAAGCGGGGTCGCCACCGTTACCCTTACTTTTTCGGAGACGATCAAGCGGTGAAATGAAGAATTTGGCCACCGTTTCCAGTAGTCTCTTGCCGGCATTTGGAACAGTTGTTGATGAAGGATACCTGAACCTTAAGAAATATGTTATTGCTCCTTATGATCGTAGATACCGGTGAGTTTCTTTTCTTCTCTGTTGTCTTAGTCTGCAACTTGTTGTTTTCGTGTTTTTCCAAATGATTTTTTTTTTTTTCGGTGCAATTCATGTTTCTCCTTGTTTTCACAACTTTCATTGTTTAAATCAAGGAGAGATAAAGAACAAAATAATTAATCAATTGTTAGCTAGGTCTAGTGTAAAAACATGTGAAAAGACAATTAATTCATGACTCAGGTTTCTGCTTTCACTTTATTTTGCATTTTCTACAGATTACCTTGACAGCTAGCATAAATGGTGCAATTAAAGGAGTTTCCAAGTCAAGATTTTTGCACATGCCCTTGTATGACTAAGGCTTCCTGAAAATTGAGATTTTTTTCGTTGACTAAAATCATTATGGAGTTTTTTGGGAGTGAAAGATTTAGACTTAATTTTTTAAATAAAATTTGTGAAATTTTTATTAAAAATTGTTGAATAAATATTAAAATTGAAAATCAAGATTTGTAGATTAAAAGTTGTTAATATATAGATAAAGTATGTAAAATTTTAAAAAATTTACATAAATTTTGATATATTTTTAAATAATTATTTTTAGTAAAAATTTTAATTGAATTTTACTTTTAAACAAGCACTAATTAAATGTGAATTACAAGTTACATTTTTAATAATATATTATTGATCTCTCATTGAATTTTATTAATTTATCGATTTAAATTTTTTATTAAATTATTTTTATTAAAAATTTTAATGAATTTCACCTACAAATTTTATCCAAAATTTATCCTTCTTTGAGATCCTCCTCTCACTCCTTGGTAAGTGAATAATGAAAAATTGTGCACCATCTATATTTTTAATCTAAAAATCATATTTATTATACAAAAAAATAATTTTGATTTATCAAAGATTATGATATTATACATTAGACTTCGTTTATCATTTCGACTTCAACTTGACCTATTTTTATAATTTAAAATTTTTTACATTGAAAGGAATAATATTCAATTTAACAATAAGAAAAAAGCCAACGATTATGTTTTCGAAATCTTCTAAAAGAAAATAAGGTGCCTTTGTTAATATAGTTATGCAATGCGTGCAGATTGTGGCAAACCTTTTTGGTAGCGCTAGTGTTATACTCGACATGGGCATCTATTTTCGAGTTAGCTTTCAGAAAAGCAGCCAAAGGGGCACTCTTGATCATTGATTTTGTGGTTGATGTTTTCTTTGCCATCGATATCATCTTAACTTTCTTTGTGGCGTACCTGGATAAATCAACCTATCTCCTCGTTGATGATCACAAGAAAATCGCGTTGCGGTATGTTAAAATTTTACCCTCAATAGCTCATCACTTTTTTTTAACATCATTCAAGTAGAACGGCCAAGGTTTGGGAAAATGCATGCGCCATGGTCCATAAAAAAATGGGCCTTGTGAGGTTGAAACCCAAAATTAAAAGGCTGAAACTGCCTAATTGACCCAACAAGCAAATTTTCTAAACTCACTCTTAGCCTAAAAATTTTTGAGTTTGAATGTTGCAAAATAGTGTTCTAATATCAGAAAATTGTGATTCTACAGATATGTAACGAAGTCTTGGTTCTTTATGGATGTAGCATCGACTCTGCCATTACAATTCATATACAGGATCTTCGCTGGCAAATGGCACACGGGTGAAATCTTCGGCTTCCTCAACTTGCTTCGTCTCTGGCGCCTCTGGCGTGTTTCTGAACTCTTCAAAAGGTAAAGTCATGTCTAATTTAGACAACTATATGCATTCTTTTAAGCAAACCTCATTTCTCTCTCTCCTATAATAATATCTTATCTGATTTTAACTCATTTTTGATAGGTTAGAAAAGGACACACGCTTTAGCTACTTTTGGACAAGACTCCTTAAATTAATCTGTGTGAGCATTATTTTGCTACTCCTGCTTTTCTACTTCTCACCCTAACCGGACATTTACAAGTCAATTTCATTTTACTCAATGGCAGGTTACGGTATTTGCATTGCACTCAGCTGGTTGCTTCTATTACTGGCTGGCTGCACAACACAAAACACCAGATGATACATGGATCGGAGAAGTGGTTGAAGATTTTAAGCACAGAAGTATCTGGCTAGGCTACACATATTCCATTTACTGGTCAATTGTCACTCTCACTACTGTTGGCTATGGAGACTTGCATGCAGTTAATACAGGAGAGAAGATATTTAACATGCTTTATATGCTATTCAACATTGGCCTCACTGCCTACATAATTGGTAACATGACAACTCTCATTGTCCATGCTGCAGTCAGGACATTTGCCCATGTGATTCTCTTCTTCCCTCCTTTCATTTGTAAAGTACATCTTCCATCCCATAGGCAACAATATCATACTACAAGATTAGCAGAATATAAAGCACTTGATGAACCAGAAAACAATATCACAGTCTAATACTAATGCTGTTTAGGTTGACATGATTTTAGCTTCTTCAGAATAGAGATTCAGGTAGCTCTATGCTGGTCGAATTTTACTCCTACATTTCAGACTTACGTGATGCTAAACTGCTGCTTTACATTTGGGTTTTAATCCAAATATATCAAATTGACCATAAACTAGGATCATGATTCATTTTTTGACAGAGAGATGCCATCAATGAATTATTGCGTTATGCAAGCAAAAATCGGTTGCCAGAAGGGTTGAGAGAACAAATGCTGGCACACATGCAACTCAAGTTCAAGACAGCAGAGTTACAGCAAGAAGGAGTGCTACAGGACCTACCCAAGGCTATAAGATCCAGCATTGCCCAGCACCTCTTCCGCGATACTGTTGAAAAAGCCTACCTATTCAAAGGAGTCTCTGATGACCTTGTTTCTCAGCTGGTACCATTATTTCCATTTTTTTTATATGTAGTTACATGGGAGGATTCAAATTGGGAACCTTCCCATTGGTCTGTGGTTTGGGTGCCCCTAAAATGGAAAAAAAAAAATCCTTCAGCCTAGCAAAATTACATTCCAATATATCACATTGGATTTTCAGTATGAAATCACCCAAAAAATAATGGTGATCAAAAACTGGCAACCTTACTATAGAAATACAATGTTAGAACAAAACTTTAATTGATATAAATAGCTATCATACAGCACCTTTTCATGGTATTTTCTTCTTGCAGGTGTCAGAGATAAAAGCAGAATATTTTCCTCCAAAGGTTGAAATCATTTTACAAAATGAGATACCCACAGACTTCTACATTCTAGTATCAGGAGCAGTGGTATAGCACCATTCTTTGTCAAATGTTTATGCCTTCTATTTAACCTCAGATACAGACTCTAAACTCTCTGAAAATGCAGGATGTGCTGACATACAAGAATGGAATGGAGCAGGTATATCTGTTGCTACAAGTGTATAATTTCATCCTTCAGAGGAAAATATTACAGTGAAAAACCCAAAACAGATGTCATACCTGTAATGTTAAATTAAAGCTTCTTTCTTTTCATTTTTTTTCTTAAACTAAGTTGCTGTCTTTCCTTTTCAAGTTTTTGTCAAAACTAGGAGCCGCAGATATGGCAGGAGAAATTGGGGTAATTTTCAATATCCCCCAACCTTTCACAGTGAGAACTAAGAGGCTCTCCCAGGTTATCCGGATAAGTCATCACCATTTCAAACAAATGGTGCAACCACAGAGTGAAGATGGAAAGATTATTATTGCCAATTTTATGCAGGTTTGTAAGCTTTATCATTTCCATAAATAGGCACTCTATGGTCAGTTCTACACTCACAGGGGAAAAAAAAGAATAATAAAGGGATGAAAAGACATGATCTATAAGTGAAAGCAAATTTTTTATGGGAAATCATCCACATGGGACCTAAAGCTGTTGGAAAATTTATTAGATAAGAGCATATAAAAGAGATTTAAGTTTGAATAAGCACTTCCATAATTGGTTTGGGCAAAAAATAAGCAAGGAAGCGTCAAAATCAATTCATGGACAATACACACTCTTCTTCCATAAGTATTTTGTTACTTTAACCAAAAATTCAAGGGCGCTTCTTTACTCTTACTCCTTTTTCTCAGTACCTGAAAGGATTAAAAGAAGACATGCTACAGGAAATACCTTTCTTAACAGAATTGCTGGCAGAGGCAGACCAGACTATACAGGTATGTTTCAATCCTGAAATTGAACCAATTAGAGAATTATGCTAATAAGGAAGACACAGAATAAAAGAGCACGTTTATGAAAAATCTAGACCGTTATTGTTTGATAAGCAGATTAGATTCTATTATGTTCTTTGCAGCCTATTGCACAAAATGAGGAGCAACAAAACAGGGAAACAATGGATTCCAAAGATGCAAATCCTGAAGGTAAAACTAAAGCTGCTTCATTATTGATATCTAATAGACGAAGGAAATTTCAAGCATATAACATCCAGATTATATGTGTGCTTCATAAGCCCACATAAAGTGTGGATGCCCAACCAGAGAACCATACCAAACTGATAATTGCTATAACTTATAGTAGCAGCAACAGGTTATCATCATATAATAAACTATGTTAAAGTAAACATTAACTTGTTTTCCCTATATACATCATGTTGCGTTGTTTTGTGTTTTGACATATAACATATTTGAGCACATGGGCCAATCTGGTGTTTTAAAGAGGGGAAAAGGTTGAGTCTATCATCTATCTTGGATGATAGAACTCCATATCCAGAAATGATTGTCTTGAGGTGATGATGACATTAGTTTTCTCCATTTAGTCAACCTAAAAGCTCAAGCTCATGGATTGCACAGCATGCTATGCCTAACCAAACGATTTTGTCAAATAAATCCAGATATATGTTCTTTTAATAAGATGCATAACATTCTGTAGACATTTGCAACTTATTAATTCTACCATTTTGCAGGAACACCAGACACTTCCAGTCCTTCACTAAGTGCAAGCACCATCCGGGTGATAATCCATGGGCATCATCCAACCGAAGGAACAAAATCTAGTGACAGATTGGGAAAGCTCATATATTTGCCTGACTCAATTGAAGACCTCTTCAGTCTAGCAGGTATCTCAAAATGCTAATATTTGTTTTCTAACTTCCACATGACATGCTAATGGGGAAAAATGCAATCAACTGAACAAACAGAAAGGTATATCCCAACTAAAACTCCTTCCTAAGAGAAGGTAATCAAGTTGGTGACACAATGTTGAAAGATTTGATCTTGAGACCTCAAACTTGAAACTAAGCCTATTAAACAAATAGAAGAGACTTTCATTTCACATCACAACAAGATAGAATAAAAAACTTAACATACAGGAGAACAATTCTAACAAAATTAATTTCATTAATTTACACGATTGGAAAGTTAACAAACTTACTTAAGAGGAAAACAGCATGTTCTTGAATACACTAATATAAATTTATGAATGAAAAAAAGGAGGCCAAAGTGTGCATTAATGCAGGATACTGAATTTGGTTATATTTGGTTAATATAGAGAAGAAATTCGGAAAGAGAGGCAGCACTATTCTTATGGCTGATGGCTCAGAAGTTGAAGAACTAGATGCTCTGAGAGAGAATGATCACTTATTCATTGTTTAAATGTTAAAGTAATATTTGATCAGTTATCCATACATTGATCTGTTTAAGTGATGACTCTAAATGCATAAGAAGGTATGGTGCATGATATTTCTAAAGAAAGAAATATTTCCAATACAGCTGCATCTGTATATGAGTGGATGTGTGTATGTCAATTGTCCACAATATTTAGCCATTGTTAGGGTAGGATTTATTTATGCCCCAATATTAACCCATTTTCAGTTATTAGGTTCTCCATAAGGATAATGGAAAGGAGGTGCTGGAAACTATAGAGCTTACAGTTTTCAGTCTGTGTTATTCAGCATGTCCAAAACAGTGTATGCAGCTTTCTGAAGCCGTCCATTCTCTTCCTCCAACACCTTCTTCCTTTCTAGGCCAGAGCCTTTGCACTTCTCTATCTCTTCCATTATTCCCAAAGAGTTTTGATCAATTTCACTGCAGCATTGTTATTAAAAAGTAAACATAACATAATTGTTAGGAGAAATATGGTGTTTGCGACAAGCTAATAATTTGATTACACCTGTTTCCCAGATTATAAACAAAATGGCTAAGGAAAGAGTGAGGAAGTAAAGAAATGCTGGATCCTAAAATTAAAGATTGCGCAATCCTGGGGAAGGAAAAACATGGTTGTATGTGTTTAACAAATATATATTGTGTGCTTTAAACTTATTGCAGCATTATAAGTGAATAAATAAGCATTGGAAAAGTGATATAAAAGTCATGATTTGTGAGTTTATTAGCAGTACAAGGTAACTAATAGAGAGAATATTTCTCCAAAAGCATTTGTACCACAGAAGAAACTGTTTCACTACCAGAAAATATAGCAGCATTCTAGGCTAAGGAGACAAAACAAACTAAAACAAGAAAACAAAGTGAGCGAGTAACCATTCTTGAAAACACAGTTTCTCAGCCAAACAAAAATGAATTGATAGTGCAAAGGACCAAAATGATACAACAAGAATTCAGAGAACAAGAAAAAGAAGAAAGTGGTTATACATAACAATACGCTAATCATTTCTGTGTAATTTTGGCAATAAGGACGAAGTTTAGATAAATAAAGAAAAATAATTAATAAAGTTTCCAAAATTAGTTCCACATCACCATTATTCACCAGATGAAGTTAGAATTTGCAAAGAATGATTCACTTACTTTATCATCTTAAGCATATTCTCCATAGCCATCTGAACATGCTGCGACATATCTGCATTAATTAAATGAAAATTACCTAATATTATTGTGAGATAGATAAATATATGGAAAATTACATGATCTTAGAAAATAACTTTATAAAAACCTTTATAGGCACTTATTTATAAAAATGAAAGTTGTCTGTTCATCTTATAATCCTCGTAAGTATCCAAAAATCCGCAAAAAATACGAGGATGACAAGCGATCTCAATAAATTAACTATGAATTTTGCAATTAAAAACTGATTCAAGCCAAGATCCTCACGTTTCACAATGTTTCTTATACAATTTGAATTAGTCAGGTAATAGTAACGAAATGCATTTCTTCAACACGAAATTTTCAAACATGCCATAATTTAAATTAGAAGTCAGATAATGACAGCTAATATTCAATGTAGCTTGAAATTAGAAGCGAAAGGAAAGTAACGATTTGTTCAAAGAAGAGAAAAAGAAAGTGAGAAAGATAATGCACCAAGGACGAGAGAAGAGAGGTGAGATTCAGCTTCTGCAGCAGGCGGAGGAAGCGACAGTGTATCAGCCTGAGATGGTGAATTCGCCATTGCTTCTTTCGAGCTTTTAAGAGAGAGTTTTTGAATTCAGTAGCAGATAAAGGGAGGTTCCGATTTGTTTTATAGCGCGCAACTTTAAAATACTCAAAATTCTTTGGCGGCGATATAATGCTTTGCCTCTCTATTTCTTCCCGTATTTCGCATGTATTTTTATCTTTCCTATTTTTTATAATTTTTAAATACGGTATTTACTAGACCTTGATTTTCTTTTCGGGCCAAACTAGACCTTGATTTCGGTTCAGGGGAAAATATTAAGAAATATGGGTTTATGGCCTTCAGATGCTAGCGGTCCACTCCATTCCTGTAACCTTGGAGCAGGCCCAGCACTTTAAGCCTCTTTGATATTGAAAGTAGAAACCCAATCAAATCCCGCTTAAAGGATTTTTTTTTTCAGATCCTCAAATTTTGTGATTAGTCCCTATTTTTTTATATTCAACTAAATTTTTGAGATTTAATTTCTTCATTCATAAAATTGAGTTCTCTTAGTGTAAGAATTTGTTAATATCATTTCAATTATTAACATTGTTAAATTTATTTATGTCATGACGTATAGATTCATTGACCTACTATTAGACATGAATAAAAATAAGTTGTCATCAATATTTTCTGTTTAGGTGTGATTGATCATCCGAAACATATTTTAGTATGTGAAAAATAGATATTAGGTTCAGGAGTTGGTTACGTATAAGAAATGTTATAACTTCCTACAACGTCCACCCAAAAGATGATACCAGTTTGATTTCAAATTATCCAAGCCTTAATCATTTTCATGATTTACCAAATAATTTAATATTAAAAATTAATCTTAAAATTATCCCAATAATTTGGTAGCAATTTAAGATAATTTTCTCACCTCATAAGTATTCATAGATACTAGTATTTTATTATAAAAAGGTTCCGTCATCCGATTCATTAAAGTATTTTATTCAAAAAAAGTAAATCTTCAAATAGTTTTGTGAGACTTATTTTGAAATAATCCTCAAATAGTTTAAAGAATAAAAATTATTTATTTTATTATTTTAAAAATTAAGTTATAAAATTTCTCAATTGTTTGGTAGAATCCACAAATTTATTTTATAAATAATTTTTTTGTTTGAAATAGTTTTTTTTTAATTCTTATTTGAAAAAAAAAAAATTTTTTATTGAACCATTTTTCTTTTTTTTTTAACTTTCATAAATAAAAGTGACATAAATAAATCTTTTTTTAAATAAAACAAAAAAAGGTTAAAAATAAAATAAAATCATAAAATACAAAATAAAAAATAAAAACCTGATATCGGGTCAAAACAAAGCACGGTTCAACACACTAGTCGTCAGATCTGCGTGCAAATCTTGGTTTATAAAAAATGGTGTTGTATTAGGAAAGTATAAAAACCACACCACTAAGCTTTTCTTCATAATTATCTAAGTATGCATTTATTTCTAAAATGGTTATTCTTTTGTCTTAACTCTAACTAATTTTCAAAAATTAACGAATAAATCTCAAATGCTAATAGGAATTTTTTGAGAACCCAACAAATTATCTATAAATCTAAATCCATAAATTCCTGTAATGCAAAAACCTACAGAAATTTAAACCCAAAAATACTAAATCCTAATATTAGAAAATCTAAACAAATCAAACCTATGACCTAAAATCTCTTGGTTGCTAAACAAACATATCTTTTTTTTCTCTAAAGAGTTTCTGCATAATCTTTTTAATCCCAACAATCTCTTCATATCATTTTTAATGCTAATTGATTTTTGAATTAAATTTCAAAAATCTCTCAATTACAGTTGAAGTCTAATTTTGAAAAAATATTCCCGGACAAAATAAGTTGTTTACAATTTGATTAACACTAATGATGTTTTTAATTTAATTATAATAATCTTTGAAATAATTTTAATAACCATTGAATTAATTTTGGTACCTTTGAAATAATTATAATAACATTTGATATAATAATTTTGATAACCGATGATATAATTTTGACAACCTTCTTATTTAATTTTGATAACACTTAATATAGCTTTGGTAAGCATCAATTTAATTTTGATAAAATTTGATATAATTTTAATAATTTGTTAATATTTGATATAATAAAATTTGATAACCTTCAAAACAATATTAACAATATTCGATATCATTTTGTAACTTCAATGCAATTTTGGTAAGTGAAAATATTTTGTACAATTTTGGTAATTTTTAATAAATTTTTAAAAATTTTGGTGTAAAATTGATAACTTTCAACACAATTTTGGTAATCTTTTGTACAAATTTAGTAATCTACAGTATAAATATAATAACATTCGACATAATTTTGGTAAATTTTAAAATAATTTTAATAATTATTGATATAATTTTGACAATCTTTAATTTAATTTTGATAACTTTTTATTTTAAGTTTGGTAATTTTGATTACTTTTGATATAATTTTTGTAACTTTTGATATAAAAATTTTGGAAACCTTTAATTTAATATTGATATCCTTTATATTAATTTAGGTTTTTTTTATTTAATTTATATAACTTTGATTTAATTTTTGATAAATTTTAATACAACCAGAACAATGACCTGTGCTTAGCTTCGGGATCTATACAAAATTGGATATGATTTTTTTTTTGGTTACAGAACAACACAATTTAAAAGAAAAAAATTTGTTTTCAAAAAATATATAATACCAACCTTAGTTATTGCCTTCACTCATAGAAGCAAAAGCCGTCCAAATCTCTAGTTTTAACAATCCACCGTACAATACCAACCGCACAATATCATTGCATCATTAAAATTTTAATGCTTGAACCAAAATAAAATGATTATTAGAGGTATATATAGAAATATGAAATCCTCTAAATTTCTAAACCTATGAAAATAACACATTTCGAGTCTTAGTGGAAACCAAAACCCAGTCAGGCTTGTAATATGCTCTGTTTTGTCTAAAATAGAGATGCTGCTTACGGTTACACGAGCGGTCACCTCTGGATCCTGTTCACTTGATATTAGGGAAGCCATTTAAAATGAAGCATCTCATTTCCCCAGCTATGCCTCTGTTCATATATTTTTATCTTCTTGTTAGTTTAGCTAACCACCCTGTCATCATTGGTATTTTGGTCCATGTTAGTTCAAGTCTTGTCCTTACGACGTTTTGTCTCTTTCTAGTTATTCTTAGGCTGCATTTCGATTCAAATGTACTTATAGTGAGGCTGCATTTATTTTGAACATTGTGCTCAATGCACGAATATCCATTTAGATGTATAATTTAAAGTTATGGTAAACAAAAATCGATTTAAATTGATTAAATTGATCAAAATTGAGTGAATTTAATTGAATCAATTTGATTTATTCAGTTTTAGTTATAATCGATTTTTTAAATTGATTAATTTGATTGATTTTTTATTTTTAAATATAATAATCGAACTGATCGAATTAATCGATTTTTTAATAAGTAAAAATAAAAAAATTTGAGATAAATATTTTTTTTCTTACAAAATATTATTGAAATTATTAAATCATTTAGTCATTTAGTTGAATGATATTTTAGTTTAAGTTTTATTGAATTAAATTTGTGATTAAATAATTATTCATAATAAGAAGAAAAAAATTAAAAAATTAGTTATTTAATCGAACCAACCGAATCAAACCGATTTTGATCTGTTTGGTTATGATCGGTTATTTAAAAATATTCGATCGATTCGATTATTTGTTAAATAAAAATCGATTAAATTAGTTATTGATTTTTTCAAACCGATCGATTACTCACCCATAATTTAATGTGCAAAAATAAGATTTTTTTATTGGAAGTTTTAAGTTCAGCCAATAAACACACAATTGATTTTTTATAGTCTTTTTATTCTTTTAATTTGGTTTATTCTCTTTCTTTTTTATTTTAATTTAAAATTTTTTTATAAAACAATTCTAATTTAACATAATAAAAATCTATTTAATATATTATTGTTATTTTTTATTTTATTAACAAATTATTATTTATCATACAAATTTTTATTTATTTATTAATTTTTATAAGTTAAATAATTTAAAATTTATTACATGTAAATTTTAAATTAATATCCTTAATAATCATTATTTATCTTATTAAAATTCATCTTATCACTACTACCGTATTTGTATCTAAACACATATATTTATCATTGATTTTAATCTACCGCTACAATAATTGATTTCATATTTATCACTATTCTTAATCTCATTAAAATTAATTTCATTGTACAATTAAATTGACTCTTAATCTGGTGATATACCAAACTTCACGGTTATGATGATTTGTTGCCATATTGTGCAATGATGATCTTAAACAAAAAAAGTACATCCCACATTTGCTGAAGAAGAATTATTCAGATGAATCATTCACCTATTTCAGCTTGTACAACTAAAGTATTTTGCATTAGAGCAACCGGGGTGGAAGTTGAAATACAGTTGGTCTAGCTGGTTTTACATATACACAAATGCACCATTGTCCCAGGCAAGGGAAGTCGGTTCATGATTAATACAAAAAGCAAACTAATATAAAGAGGCTCACATGCATGGCTGCGTGAGTGAGAATTTTCGTGAGTAGAGCACATGTTCACCAGCTGGCCCATTTCGATGAATTGCTTCTGATCATTTTGTTGGAGCGTCAACTCTTAAGTATAAGCTTTCTCAGTCCATGCATTTAGTGGTTTCCCATTATTAGCTCTTAATAGTCAAAATATTATATATCTGACTTTGTCATACGGTTTTGTTCTAACATCACTTTCCTTTTATAAAAAGATGCATTATTCACGGATGATACTTCTACTCTCCCCTTCCAACTCTTTGAAAAAACAAATTCATAAAGAAAATAATAATTCAAATCAAAATCGAATTTAATTTATTTTTTTGAATAATACATATAATTATAGCATAATTATATAAAATTTAATCAAAATTCAAACCGAATTTTTATATTATTTGAATTTAATTTAATTTAATTGATATAATTTATCGGTTTTTTAAATTATTATTATTATTTTAACATAAATTTTAATATATTTAAATAAATTTAAGTATAAAATAATTATTTTATTTTATAAAAATTTTAAAAATATATAAAAATCAATAAAATATATAATTTGATTCGGTTAATTTTTTTTTTACTTCTCGATTTGAAATTCAATTCAAAATTAATATATATTTAATATTTGAATTTAAATTGAATTGAATAAAAAATTAAAATTTTTGAATTTAATTTGAATTAAATAAAAAATTATTTTTTTGAAT